CTTTTGCCTGTGTCTGCCCCGTACCCGTCAAGCTGATGACGTGGGCGCTCGCACAAGTCTCCAGGATCTCGGAAAGGCCCCGCTTGAGAGGGAGCGCCTGCGGATTATATTGAAGAGGTCGCACACGATGGGATGGGGCAGCAGTGGGCATGAGTGAACTGAACGCCAGCAGGGCCCACCACATGAAGCGGGCTCGGGTGTTCTGTCTGCCTCGCGGTCTGACTCGGTCGAGTGAAGTCCTCCCCTCCTGCAACAGAGAAAGGTTCGGGCCGAGGAGGCTATGATGATGACGATGATGAAGATGATGAAAGACTTCCTGGGGTGTGCTTGGGCGATCTTGGGGTCCTCCGGGGAGCCCGTGGACTAGCAAGTAAGTATGCGCAGCCGTTGTAAACCGGCTCTCGTTTTCTGATCGGCCTGCCCGCTTTATCGACATACCACAGCAGCACGGCCCAGCGCAGCAGCACGACAGACCGCAGCAGCACGGCAGACCAAGAAAACAGACCACAGGAGCACGGCAGACCATAACGGCAGACCAGAACGGCAGACCGCAGCACGGCAGACCAGCACAGCTGACCACAGGAGAACGGCAGACCAGCACAGTGTTGTTGCAACAAACGGTGCTGGTACGAATTGAAAACGTCCCCAGGCGAAATCGTCATGTTCGGCTGTACTGAGGGCACTCTGGGGGACATCTTGGGGGCCCTTCTTGTTTTTTTAGCCTGGGGCCGTACTGATGCCCTCAAAAATGATTCCAAGACGACGTTAGACTCATGCCTTGTTCGATGATTGTTGGGCCGTCTTGAGGGCGCTCTTAGGGCATAGTCTGCCATGCTCCTCGTCTTGGTCTGCCGTGCTCCCCGTCTTGATCCTCCTTTCGGTCGTCTGGAAGACGCTCTTGGGGCCTGGTCTGCCGTGCTCCTCGTCTTGGTCTGCCGTGCTCCTCTCGTCTTCAAGATGATGTTGCGAACATTTCAGTTTCGCGAGGAGGCCTCAGGGTCTCAGGCGAAATGCTCAGTTTCGAAATCCGCCAACGACAACTCCAGCGCAACTGTTCTTGGCATGGACGGGAAGCGCGTGAAAGCAACGAGCTTTGCAAGAACGTGCATTATCCGTCTCCAGGCCCTCAACCTCCCGACTCGCGCTCTCCTATGCCAAGTCGAGCTTAGTTCCCGCACGGGTTCAGACGAGGCGCACATCCCGCTGGCGCATCTCGGCATTATCCGTCTCCAGACCCGCAACCTGCCCCCCCTACAGGGCAGTTGTTTTGTTATTATACATGGGATCTTTAAACATATATGGTTCTTAATACATGACTAAGTTATGAGTAAAGGTATGCATGAACTCATCGTTGCTTTTAATACTAAATCCCTGCATTTTTAATACATGATCCGCACGCGGAGCATGTATTAAAAACGGCACTGTATTGTCAGGTCGATGTTGCTTTCCGCGCGAGGTCGGACGATGCCCCCCCCCTGCTGGCACATCTCGGCATGATCCGCATACAGACACCCAACCTGACCCCCAACCTCCCCACTCGCGCTCCCCAAATCGACCTTGCCTTCCGCGCGAGCTCAGACGAAGCGCACCCCCCGCTGGCGCATCACGGCATTATCCGTGCCCAGACCCCCAACCTCCCCGCTCGCGTTCCCCATGTGTCGGGTCGAATTTGCTTCCCGCGCGAGTTCAGACGAAGGGCAACCCCCGCTGGCGCATTTCGGAACTATCTGCGTTCAGACCCCCAACCTCCCCACTCGCGCTCCCCCAGGCCAGGTGGAGTTTACTTTCCGCGCGAGTTCAGACGAGGCACACCCCCAGCTGGCGCATCACGGCATTATCCGTGCCCAGACCTCCAACCTCCCCACTCGCGGTCCCGCATGTCAGGTCGAGTATACTTTCGGCACGAGTTCAGACGAGGCGCACCTCCCACTGGCGCATCTCGCCATCATCAGTCTCCAGACCCGCACCCCCCCCCTCACGTTCCCCTGTGTCACGTCGAGTTTACCTTCCGCGCGAGTTCAGACGAGGTGCACCGCCCGCTGGCGCATCTACGATGACGGCGACGACGGCGGCGGCGATGACGATGACGATGACAGTGACGACGACGACAATGACGAGGAGGAGGGCGACGACAAAAACAATGACGATGAGAACGACAGCGACGACGACAACAATGCCGACGACGATGCAACTATTGATGATGTATCGAGCGGAACGAATACTTTTTTGAGTGAAATGGCTGAAAAACCATGGAATCCGGTCCAGGGTGCGCCCAGCTCACCACAGGTAGAGGAGGTGACCCCTCTTACTTCCGTGGCGCAGTGCCGGGATGGGCCCCCTTGGACCCCCGCCTCGGGGCGGGGCCCCCGCGCCATGCGGGGTGGGCGGGCGGACAAGGAGAGCGCGCCCGCACCAAAAAGGCTGCGAGCAGGAGAAGGGGAAATTGGCGGCGAGCAGAAGGGGGTAGGGGGAGGGGGGAAGGCTTCTTAGAAGGGGGCTGCTTCTCAGAAGGCGCTGGCCTCACATGTACAGAGAAGGACCGCGCCCTCTAAGAAGCAGGGGTGCTTCTAAGAAACCTTCCCTCCTCACCCCACCCCCCTCTGCGCGTGGCCGACTATAACAGGAACAAATCCCGGCTTAGGGTGCCCGGCTCACTACAGGGAGAGGAGGCGACCTGTTTTACTTCCGTGGCGCAATGCTGGGGTGAGCCCCCTTGGGATCCCCGCCCGCGTCCGCCAGGGCCCCCGTCCCTCCAGGGTGGTGGGTCCGCGCCATTCGCGCCGCTATCAGCGCAACGAACGGCGGGCAGGCGCCCTCCTTTGAACCCCGCCGCGCTCGTCCACTGCCCCGCAGTAGGAGGGGAAGGCGGGCTGCAGCCCCAGCGCGCGACCTCGGCCGGCTGTCCCACCGCCGCGGTGCCGTACTCGCCATCGCTCGGACGTCCATTCCTGTGCTTTTGCTCGGTCTCGTGTGTGTTTTTTTTTCGCCAAATGGTCAAGGATGCTCCTCGATGGTCCTCGTCGAAGGAACAATGCACACGCTCGAGCGATGCCAAGCTCACAGCATTCCGGTGGGTCGTGGGTGCCCCAATCAGGGCCCCGGGTGCCCCGTGGGACCCCCGCCCGAGGGGCCCTCCCCCCTGGCCGGGGGACGCCGCCGGCAACAACGCGCGCTGAGGATGGGCCCGGGGACTGCCCTTCATGGGCCGGCTCATCCCAGCATGAAAATGAAAACAAAGGGGAGGCCAGCCCCCACCCGGGCTAACGCTAGGGGGCCACACGCGAACCCTACCCCTAACCCCCACGATTTCTGAGAGGGGGAGGGTGGGTTCCACTTCGTTCGGGAGCTCCCGAGCGA